GGGAACACTCAGCTCCAGCCCAGAGAGGCCTGCCTCCCCTGCTTCTCTGCTTGCAGTCAGGAGGCTCCAGCTTGGTTTACACCTTATGCTGCGCCCCATTGGGAAGCAAAGGAGGGGGGAGGAAAAAAACCAAAAAGGCATGGCCGTTTGGTGAGGGAGGGAAGGGCAAATGGGTTGGGGCATTGTCTGTTGTCAGCCCCCCCCCCCATGGCTACGGGCCTGTGAGTGAGTGAGGGAATGCAGCCACTACCAAAGAGAAAAGGGGCAGACTGGAAGCACTCACAGGTGTTCTCGCTTCACCATTCCTCCCCCTTAGTTTCATCTCTGAAAAATGGCAATAAGAGGACTAGACCCTGTATATAGGAGTCTATAGCTTACAGAAGTTCTGAGCTTCTCAAGAAACTAAGAGTGGCTAGTATTGGAGACAGGCCTCTTATATGGATGTCACACAGCATGGGGGGGTCTTCTAGTCAAGAAGATGCTTCTGGATGCTTCCAAGGACCCCAAAATGGATTCCATTGTAAACAACACCCAGGGAATTGTGTTTTACAGCGTACCTCATCATGGGTCCCGGTTGGCTGAATATTCAATAAACATTAGATTTCTGCTGTTTCCTTCTGTGGAAGTTAAGGAACTCAGCAAAGATTCTCCTGCACTTAAAGCCCTGAATGATGACTTTCTCTCGTTTGCAAAGGACAAGAAGTTTCCTGTATTAAGTTTTGCCGAAACGTTACCAACACGAGTTGGCAGAATGTTGAACCTGCATGTGGTACCAGTGGAATCTGCAGGTCTGATCTCCTCAACAATCTTTGAAAATGAACTCGCCCAATCTCATCAGATCTCAAAAACTAAGCAGGGTTGACCCTGGCAAGTATTTGGATGGGAGACCTCCAAAGAATACCAGGGTCAGGAGGCGGAAGCAGGCGATCAAGCCACTTCTCTGAACATCCTCTACGCCCCAGTAGGCATTACCAGAGGTCACCATGACTTCCAGGCACAGACAGACAGACAGACAGACACACACACAAATGCAAAAAAACCCAAAACCTCAAAACCCCAAAATGAACTGGTGTAGCAAGAGAGAGCCATCTATGTTCTGTGGCATAAATACTCCAAAAGAGAAAATATTATGAAACATCAGAATTTCAGATGAGAAACTGATTAGTTTTCTCTGGTGCTGGGGTGGATCAACATTCTTTGGAGCCCAAAGAATATTCAGTCTGTCAAGAAACTGGACTTTCTCTAGATGTTTCTTGGCTTTTCAAAACTTTGGTTCAGGCCTAGTAAAATAATCGAAGGCTTCTCTCTGAAAACGATGACTTTCAGTATCAAGAGAAGGAACAGATCATGGGGTCCAGGAGCTTCAAGGCCAGGGGCCAGGAGGGAGCTTTGCACTTGCAGTCCATCCCATTAGTGCAAGAAACCCTGTTTGGGGGGTGAGTTTCTTG